TCCAACCTTAGTGATTCTGTGATTCTTTGTAGAAGCTTGTGTCCTGGAAAGCTGTCATGTGAAATCTCATCAATAGTATCACTTTAAAAAGAGAAGCAGCATTTTGAAATTTTATTCTGAATTTGGAATTGTAGTATGTTTGGGAAAACTGCACTCTGACAATTTCTAATCAATGACTACTCAAACAAGAAGCTCCCCTCTTCTTGTTGTAGCTATTTCATTCTAGATGCAAGGAATATAAGAGTACATGCTCACGCCATTTGTTTCCCTAGCATTGTTTACTACTAATTCAGAAATTAAGAGTTCAAAATTTCTATGTGAAAGCAGTAAAGGATGAATGACAACAATGAAATAAGAAAAAAGTAACAGAAGTGAGGAGATATAAGAGTAGAAAATTTGAAAATTAGGCAGGGGGTAATTCTAATTTAGAGACAGCATTTGGAACCTGCAGACATATGACCAAATCCACACACCTGAAGCATAGTACATATATGCATCACCCAGATGAAAGAATACTTCTAGTTTCATATACATTGTAACTTGGTAGCATTACCTTTGTCCACTCTGGTAGCTTGTGCTAGCTTCTTCTGAGCCTTCCCTTTCAATTGCTGAAGTGGAATTAAAGCTAGTGCTTTCTGCTGAATAGAAGGATTCTCATAAATCAATACAAGATGCTCAAATTTTGTTTGAAGTGTTTTCAAGATATTTGCAGCCTGCAAAAGGATTTTCAGTTACAAGATGATTTATGAACTTCCACATTAAACCAGAACCACCAAGCTCTCCTATTTCATTCTGTCAGCCACAATTTTATACTCATAGTTACATTACATATTTCTTAAGTGAAATGTTGATTTGTAAAGATATCAATAAAAATTGCAGACTTCATCACCCAAACTGCAAAGCCTGACTTGTCATCTCTCAGCATTCTGAATGGTGTCCTGAGTGAAAAGTGTATTGATTCAGGGAGAAAAGTGTTTTTAAAGACATGTCTGATGGCAAAGTTTTTTACTTATCCCCCCCCGCCCCGCCCCATTTCTTTTGGACACCTTTTACCCGAAATCCACAAAACAACCTGTAATTAATTCAATTTCCTAGACACTGCTGCACCAGTTCACAGAACTCCATTACTGATGAATGCTGCTCTACTATTTCTTATTCATGAATGCTGCTTGTCTGTTTCTACTTCCTTCTCTCACAGATCAACTCTCATACAGATTTGAATAGATAGCCCCGTGACCAAATACCGAACCGTGTATTTCGCTAGAAATCAAATATAAGAACTAGGCTTCTTCAGTCAGTTATCCTAAGTGTCACTCAGTGGCAACTACGTGTTGCAGCCAATAAGGTACATTCATATCTACTAAAATAAATAGCTAAAGTTAATAATAGTGGAGTTAGTAGCTGAGCAAACCATTTACTCCCATTTAAACGGGGCAACACAGAAAACAAACTGTGATTTAAAAGTTAAAAATCTGGGATATTTTTGGGGGAAGCCTAAATTACCTTTTCTCTACTTCATGTTTCAGTCTTTAGCCTTGTTAACTACCATCTTTGTTTCATCAAAACCCCCATATTTTCTTGAGATGCTAGCAGAAAATGCAACATAATGCACAGGTTTGAGAACTGTTCAGAAGGTAAATTCTTTCAAAGGAATATTTAAATTAGGAGTGATTATTTTGATGCTGGACAGTACTACAGGATGAGTCCTTACTTTTCATAACTGCCAAAACAGAACAGAACTTCTCCAAGTCTCAAGAACGCCTTACAATAAGAAATGCAGAAGAGACACAGATGAGGCAAAACAACGATGAGTTAGGTCCTTAGAACTGTGTCATTTAGGAATATTCTTGTGGTGTCTTACTTTTCCCTGAGCTTACCAGGCCTCCCATGAGTCACAGTTGTAATGCATAGGCAAGAAATAAAAATGCTTGCATTATATAAACAACTCTAAATGTCTCTGACATCTGACAGCAGTGCATACAATAGTAATACAACTATAAGTCTGCCGTATACTCACTAAAAAACAAAACACCTACTGCTGTGCAAGCAAAATGGCCAAGTCATAGCCAGACGGTATTTTATGGACTTCCTTCATCAACCCAGATGACAGACTAAATTCAATGGCTCAGAGAGCTATCAGTATAATTCCCTGAAGAGATCAGCTGAAATACAGCATTCTAAGAGTGCCAACACTGCATTAGCAATGTCTCTAAATTGTAACAAGTTTGGTCCCAACACCCATGTTGAATCTCAAGAAACACAGAAAAACAATAATTGCAGAGAAATAGATCCACAACTCTGATGGGGAGGTAGACTCAGGGCAGAATAACTACAAATGAGAAGGATTAAGCTCGGAATACATTGTGTCAACTTGAAATCTGCAACATTTTTCTCATTGCAAGATCAACACAACTTTTAAAGTTTTAAAGCTTCCAGTACTACCCAGTACTGCAGCAAGTCATTCTAAAGGTTTAATCACTTCCAACCACCATTGCAGAAGTGGCTGAAACAGTAAAAACCAAGCAGCAGACCAAAAAAAAAACCCCAAAAAAATTCAAATAAACCCAGTCAGTGTATTTTAAAGGCAACTACTAGCATGCTAACATAATTACATTAAATGGTTCAATATTCAAGTGCCTACAACAAAGGACATTATAGGAATGATGGGTCACTTAGTGCTCTCTCTCCCCAAAAACTATCACTTCAGTCTATGCTTTGCCATTCCTCTCCCACTGATCTTGGGTAAGTACTGGGAAGAGATAGTATGTCATAGTTCAGCATCCAACAATGTGCTGATAATATCATTTAAAAGAGACAAACTCTGTGTAAGGAGGTATGAGAAGCGAGTTTTTGGAAGGGTTCATCTTATACCAACTTTAAGACCAAAGTGACACTGGCTCTAGGGGTAAAAACTCTTTAGAAAATTAAACCAAAGCATCCTTCAAACCTTCTACCAAAAAGGCATAACTTCATTTTTCAAAGTTCTCTGAGGTATTAAGAGTCTTCCCCCATCAGGTCAGGTCACATCCGATGAAAAGACTCTGCCTCTCTGTCTTTACAGAGAAATTCATCTCAACCTCTTGGACAAGGGAAACGGCCTAAGTAACTATAGATTTGTCCTTGAGTGGCTAAATTCCTGTCTCTTTACAACAGCCGCACGTGAAGAAAAGGCCTCACAGGCTACACATACAGGTCATAATGCATGAACTGAGATGCCAACAATTATAAACATGATGGTTGTGCTCCTTTTCTTTTCCTGGCTCTCAAATACCAAACACGTATACAGCCTTAGACTTAGCTTCCCCCTCTGCCCTTTGGTCCCCTACCTTGTTGTTCCCTTCCAATAGAAATCAGCTTTTTTTTCCACAACACCCTGATTAATAAAATATTTATGGATATCTTGAGCAAAATCTCTTGCTAATATTCTATTTATGGCATGTTTCATATTGAAGTCGCATGGAGACCAAAGAAAACACTCAAAAATTTCAGAAACCATTGGAAAAAGAAAAAATTCCTCTAGTTCAGCCTCCTGCTCAAAGCAGGGTTAGCTATGAGGTCAGACCAAGTTGCTCTGGGCTTTATTCAGTCAGGTCTTGAAAACGCCCACATTTGGAGACTACACAGCCTCTCTGAGCAACGTGTCACAACAGTTAACTCTTCAATCTTTATATTCAAGATTAGTGTGCCTACAAAGTTTTCAGGTTATAATTACCGTTTCAAGAGATTGCACAAGTGATGTTTCTGGTTCCTGACGGGCTGGGGCAAGAACAGAATCAGCAGGTCTTGAAGGCTGGTGTGCAACTGTCTGAGTGCTGGCCACAGTTTCAGAGGATCCTGATCTGTGGATTTGATTTGACTCATTCAGTCTGCTACTCCTCTCTCCAGCAATTAAGTCTCTGATTTTACGTAGCTGTTCAATTGAAGCTTCCTTAGGGAAAACCAGGTGAGTTTCTCCCTGAAATTTAGACAAATTCGTTCAACAGTTAATGCAGGTCTAAGTGAGTCAGCGGTTTGTATCTATTGCTAACAGCTATGTCATTTACTGGAAGTTAGCATGCTAAGGCTTGGCAGGATTCAGCCTTAAGATTAGGTCCGTTATAGCAAAAGTTAAGAGATCAAGAACCTACAGCCAGTCTAAGGAAAAAGGGCTCAAAATAACATGCTTTTGTTAGTAACTTATTTTGCAGAGCCACACATGGACAATGCAATTATGGTTTGGCAGAGAAAGCAGCAACAACAGAAATGAACAACAAATGCTCAGTTCTCCCAGTACAGCAGTAAAACACTAGGGCAACACAGGAGGCTAGCCAACGTTGGGGGAAGAAGCCCCTAGAGTGGCATCTGCTGGGAATTCTCTACTATACTGACAGCTTTTAGTTTTTATATAGGAAATATTATTCTTATTGATACCTGTACCCAGCTTGATTTCTGGGCTTCTATTTTTGATTCTAACATGGTAGCGTAACAAAAGATTAATAACTATGACAGAAGTGAGTATCACTGTACTTAACATGAAGAAATAGGTTACAAAAAACATGAATACCCTGTAGCATTCATACTTTTAAGAGTTTCGGTTTCTGCCATTGCAGCACTCCTATTTATTAACCCAAGTAATTTGTTTATCCACAGTCACCTTAGGTCATCTATCATTGCAGATGCAGTGCTTCACTTTAACACTTATAATCATTACAAAACTAAATGGAATGTATCAATCTAGCAGAAGAGCCCTCATTGTTTAATTTAAAAAGTTGGCTTACCAAGCAGAGACAAAAGAAGGAACAATTTTAGTTATCGCAATTGAAGAGAAGTTTGTGAGCTCCAGCCTCAATTGACACAATAACCGTAAGACTGAGCCAACAGGCAGGCTCTTAAAGATCTGACAGAAGTGGGAGCAGCACTTTATAACATGTTTAAAATTACTGTGTTATTACTGCTTGAGTGCTTCAATGGCTACACTGACCACCTCCTGGCTAAAACACATCATTAAAAGTCATCTCCTGAGTGCCAGCATGAGGATAAACCCGCAGAACGTTTCTCCCTCTGCAGTCACCATTTCTTTCAGCATACTTTTTTTTATTAAATTAGGACAACTACACTAATTAACTTTACCCAAAGAGAAAGCAGAGAGATCTCATGACAGCTGGACCTAAATAATGGTAATGTATGTACCCATATGGAAGAGTGGCATAAAACAGACAAATTAAAGCAAAGCTAGAGCAAGAGCTTTGTACCGTTAAACAAGAGTTGGGTTTTCACTCCAGCTCTCCTGTAGTTGCAATGCCTGCTTCTAGCTTAAAAAGCTTTGGCAGTTTAAGTTCTACCAAGATAGGGACCATTTCAGGACACAAAGCAATCTTCAAAACACATCTTTTTGACTACAACAGAATCAAGATTCACTCAAGACTATTTTAGGATACAGCTTTGTTAACTGTTTTAACTGGCTAAAAGTCCCACCTTCCCACTACAATAGTCTGTTGCCCTCCACTGCTATCATGGTAACACTAGTACTTCTGCAGCTGCACTGTTAATTGGCTGCAAAATATTTCTTTTTTTTGGTTTGGGAGATTAATTTTTAATCAGATCAGCTTCCCTTATCTAACTCACTATAGGACCACACAAGCCCTACTGATAGTAGGAACAAGCAGCAGAAGAGCAGGATTTCCCCCCCGCTTCAAATGATGGTTTCAATGCACAGATTTATTATATGGAAACTACTGTGTGATGATGCATTCTGATGTCCACCTAACAGTGAGCTGCCACCAAGAGAAAGGGTTTCCACCCCGTTTCCCACCATTTCCTTTGTGCTAGCAGGGATACATACCTGGTCATTTAAGCACACTGGTAGTTACGCCTGAACAGCAGAAAACCAATCTTATCACAGATCAGCTTAGCTCTAGCACCACTAGATTTCTGAAGTAGCCTCATCTACATTTTCTGTTGGTTAATTGCAGATATTTGCACACATATTGAAAGATTGAAGGATTGAAAGAAAATTAAGAAAATAGCAAGTGGCTTAAAAACTAGTGCCTTGCAGCTGGGAAAGGAGAAAAAAAAAATCCAATTTTAAATTTTAGCATGTAAACTGATGAAGACATCAGAAATTGTACTCACCTCTTGAAACCCCATCTCAAATAAACACTCAACAGCTCCTCTGACAGGCAACAGCCTCGTGGAAAATGCTGGATTTCCAATCCGAATTAATCTATATTTTTCTTCATAAGGATACCTGAAGAAATGGAAAGTTTTAATCATGTTTGCAAATTACGTAAACACTTAAAAGCTGGGTAACTATACTAAGCAGCATTAGTCATTCATAAGAAATTTTTAAAAAAGTTTAGTTTCATTCACACTGTGTAGGCAGAATGTGAAACTTATCTAAAACTTTGACTTCATGTCCTTCTGCATTTAACTTTGAGAGTTACAAAACCGGTTCTAAATTTTCATTTGCAACTTAAGTTCATAAATATGTGTTTTGTAGTCCTAGCCAGCAGGGCTTAGTCTGCAGTGATATTTATAGACAATGTCATGCCCTCCCATAGCATTCTAACTGAACTCAGCTCGATGCTGGATGTTTTTAGGACCACTACAGAAACCATGCTAAATTTCCTGGTACATGGGTTAAACTGCTGTGGTCTCTTTGCTACTTGAAGGGCTACCTCTGAGTTCCCTGTCCTCTTTCAACTCTTCTAAGCCGCCTTTTCTTGCTCTTTCTTTAAAAGGAGTCAGCCAGGACCCACTGCTCTATGTCACACAGCACAGTTTTTACAAGTGGTTGACAAACCAGATATAGACAGGGAGAGGCATCAAGGTCAATCATACATGTTGGTATGTACATATACTCTACCTCGCAAAAATCCAACTATAATTACCTCTTGATACCAATCTTACTGAGTCAGAAGCCAAAGACAACACAAAAATCAAGTTACTATTTTAGCATTCCTCGTTATGCATCCGCTAACTTTTAGGTGCTTAAATGCTTGCAGAATCAGGGCGAAAGCAGGCTTTTTGTGTTCAACACAAAATCAAGCCCTCAAAACAAACCAACAAGCAATAAGGAAAGAAAGAAAAATCCGAGGCACTACACACACTTACGTGAAAAGTAATGTTTTTAAATGATGACAAAAAGCACCAAGATGTTTTTGAACTTCAATATTACTTAACAAAATTGAATCACATGGCTCATCTTTGAGATGGTCTGCCTGCACGCCCAGAAATTGAGTATTTTATGACAAACTGCTTCTCAAGCTGCACTGGCAACCCGACAGGAATTGCTAAGTGCAGACGCGGACTCCGTTTTCTTAAAGACGCGCAAGGCGAAGCGCTTCACTTGCCACGCCGCTGCGGTGCCCGCAGATCGCTTCGGCACCCACGCACAGCCGAGATCGGCGAGTCACGGCCGCGAACCGGGCGCTGGCCGTACGGCGGGACAGCCGAGGCCCTCGGACCCCAACCCCA